CGCCCGTCACGCACAGTGGTACATGGTCCTCGTGAACTTCTGCAGGAGTTCACGATTGCCCTCCGCAATGCATACCATGAAGCATTCACGGAGTGGACACAAGGTGAGTTGGATGAGATGGTCAGGCGCAAAAAAGACAAGGACGCGAGGCCCACCTACAGGACTTTTGCCCGCTCCCTCCAGAAGCCCGCGGAGGAAGTCAAGCAAGCCTGGAAGGTCTATCAGCAACTTGAGGCACGCAGCTAGACACCATTGATCTTTGCAGCGTTGGCGCCGTAAAATCTTCCTGCGGGTTGTGAGTTGAGTCGGATTCTTTGTCTTGCTTTCCTTGTTATGCAGTCTTGAGTGATCAAGTCATGATGGAGCAAAATGTTCAGACGTTCATAACCTGGACTCATGGAGTGCAGCCGACGTGGCTCACTTCATGATCATCCACCGGGAGTTCAAGCTGAAAGGCTGATACGTGTGCCGGCGCCACCGCCAGCACCACCACAATTTGTTCTACCTCCTCCACCTCCACCACCGCCTCCGCCGCCGGAGATCTTCCACTCGCAGTTTGTGCCCTCAATACGGGCATCACCCACATCATCCACCCGGGGTCAATCTTGCCCGGCTACTACATCCTCTGAACGCACAAGACAATCAGTTCGCAGCGCTGACCAACTCAGTGCAGACGATCTTCAGAGCCTCACGCGCACTCAGAAGCGTGCTCGCACATTGAAGGGAGCCGTCTCGTCTACAGCAGAGCACTATTCTCGACGACCCTTCACCGTGTTCACTCCCAAACGATCTACTCGTGCTACACGGTCCAGAACTACAAGATGCAAACATTACTGCCATGCCTTTCTACACCATGGCCGGAAGTGTCTTTCTCCTTGTGTGAGACGTCAGCCGGGACACCTTCATTGCCGATGTGCACGTCATCAACGGCAGTAATGAGGAGCCGTGGAACCTTCTGAGTGAAAATATGGTCCGATTCGCTTGCTGCTTGTGCTTGGGTTGCCTTGTCTTGAGTTGCGCTACCTCCATGTGTTTGTTCTTTCGCAGACTTCTTTGTCTCATAGAGGCGCATTCGGTTGTTATGCTCAATTCGACATTTGGAAACGAGAGATGGGCCTTTCCGCGCTACTTTGAGTACAACATCGTGCGTGGCCCTGGAAATGCAAGAGTTGAATGGATTCGCGTTTACATACTGGGCGCGTGGCAGCCCGTTGCAGAATCCACCTTAGGACCGGCTCCGGACGACGCGTCCACATATCGTGAGTGGCGCAGGGTCTACCACTTTGACGTGTACTGGCCTCGTGACAGCACAAGAGGCACCACTGCGTGCGGATGCCCTCGCCCTGCCGGTCTCCTACGTGTCCTTTTACACATGGCAATATCGAGATTGGCACACCAGAGGATACCAACGCCTTGGCAATCCACACCCAAGCATTGGATCGCCATGTACGCTGGATTGTCCTCCTCGTCGGCATCTTCGGTTTCAGATGGTGGTTGGCGTTCTCCTTCCCCTCCAGCGGGTTGTGATCCTAACTTTGACTGGGACGAGTGACATTGATACCTGTGCAGGCTGTAGCTATAAAACACTGGGCTTGATGTTCCTTGCGTCTTGAGTGCATGGTTTAGGGTCTTGAGTTTGACTGGCATGTTCTGCGTCACATGACATGATGTGTTTCTTTCCTGCAGCCTTGTGCGTCATTGTTCGATCATCATGCCGTGGCTAGAATGGTGCCCTGATCCTCAACGACCGGACGCCCAATGGATTAAGATATTTCATCCAGGGGCATGGACACCAACGTGATGACCCTCCTCCACGTCATACGTACAGGGAATGGAACCCAAGCGCGGGCCCAGACTGACGTTCAGCAGCCGTGGCTGGAGTGTTCAGTCTGGCAGGAACGCGAGTGGGTGCGGATCTACATTCCTGGACAACCTCAACTATGGCATGACGTACCTGACCTGCCAGAGAACACTTTTCGAGAGTGGAAACGGGTGACCGCGCCAGATGATGAGACTCAAGACCATGATGAGCCAGGTCACCATGCGCCTGAACGCCGCCAAGCCTGGACCATTCGAGATTGGCAGCATCAAGGATACCAGCGAGTATGGACCCGCTATGAGTCCTTCTCCACCCACAATGCCCCGGATCAACTACTTGAAGGCTTGCACAATCCGGACTTCTCCATCCAGGTCGAGGAACTGGGTTCTCAACATGGTCTTCGTCAACAAGATCGCAGAGCGATGGATATGTTCACCTACGCCCCGCCCATGACGGACGCTGCACATCCGTCCTCCCTGCACCTTCCGCCGGTCTTCTATGGCGGCACACTTCCTGCTCAACTTGGGGACCCTTCGTCCCCGTCTTCTGAGCGGCACCGTACAGAGCGTGCAATTTCTCGTTCTCCCCGCCGCTGTGGATATTTTGGTAGACACTAGGGAGTTGAGCACGTGGTCTTCCGAATGCAAAAGGTGATGTACGCCACTCGTGGAGGGGCGTGTG